GTGGGTGTGTGTGCGTGTGTGTGCGTATGCGTACGTGTGTGCGTGTGTGTGCGTGTATGTGTGTGTGCGTGCGTGCATGTGTGCGCGTGTGTGTGCGTGCATGTGTGCGTGTGTATGTGCGTGTGTATGTGCGTGTGTATGTGTGTGCGTGTGTTTGTGCGTGCGTGTGCGCGTGTGTGCGTGCGTGTCAGCACTGGTTTACCGAGTGCGAACCCTCTGGAGCACATTTGCCCACTCATTTACGCCGCTGGAGAAGCGAATTCGATTACCTGACTATTATTCTTTTTTTTTCCTGACGTACTTATCTCGGAGGCGCCTACTGTCGACACATGCAAATACTTGCCGGGTCATCGGCTACACTGCTCGTCTAGAGAACGTCAGCAACAGGGACCCCCCTCCCAACACACACACACACACACACACACACATGTTCGCTCATTTTAGCATTCCCTATATATTCGTGATGACATACTGCGCAGGAAACCACAATTCAGCTTTGTTACACGTAGACTACGTGGGCACATTGAAACGTTATCGCAATCATTACGTGAATCCTGGACGTTTCATTGCAGGAAAAAAAGTAAGCGAAGTGCAAACAGTAACAGTGAAAATTAAATTTGGAAATTGGAGAGAAAAGTAGAACCAAGGGGTTCGCTACCCTACACTGAGTTTGAGGAAAATAATGAGGTCGGGGGAAATAGAGTCAGAATAAAAGAAACGGGAAAAGCAAAAACCACGCCCACACTTGGAGGAGCCCAGCTATAGTCAACCGGCGGTCGCAAGAGACTTTAGGTGGCTAGCAACGCTTTCGTTGCTTTCTGCGCCATCGACACACATGCCCATAGTCGCCGAATCTTAGCGACAGAAAATAGTCTCTTGACTCAAGTCCGCTTGGGAACACCTGGAAAGTGGTTCGCCACGGTGGATCAGTAATTAATGTACCCTGCTGCTCACCCAAAGGTGGCAGTTTCGATCCCGGCCGCGGCGGTCACATTTCGGCGGAGTCGAAAAGGTTGAGACACGGTAAATGTCAGGGTGCGTTAAACAACACCAGAGAGTCGCAATTTCTGGAGCTATCCACAAGGACGTCTCTCATAATCATATGGTGGTTTTGAGACTCTGAACTGCAGATATGGTACGAGGTTTGTACAGGTTTCCAAGGCAAAAAAAAAAATCAAGAATATTTAGGGACTTTCCAGGACCTGTCACAAGTTTTTGCAAGAACTCAAACTTACGTGCAAAGTTGCAACTTTCCCCCTATACAATTATCAGAAATGACTCATCTTACTGCACTTACCATAAATGAATGAATATCACATTTGTAACAAAAACATCTATTCTTAATAACTTCTCAATATCACAACACATAATCAACGCTCACAAAAGCGGTCGAGATTTTTTCAGCATAGACTTAAGTTACTCAAATACATTCAAAACGTCCTGTGCAGTATTATTTCACTTATATAAAGATAAGTAAATATATATCTTAATTAAATAACAATAAGTAGTCTGCATCATTTTGCAAATCCTAAACAGTAAAAAAAAAGCTCAACGCCGTGCACTATTACGACCGCGGTTCAGATTTCTGCACTGTATACTCTGTAAAGTTGACCAAACATATCCAGAACCTCCAGCTTAACGTTATTTGACTTAAACAAAGATGAACAAACGTGTAGGGGGCATGAACTTGACGTCATGTGCGAGAAGCGGTAGCGCCGGTGTTGCCATTTCCAGGTCCTAGCACTAGCCGAACGCGAAAGAAGCATGAAGCACGTGCTAGAGCTTAATTTATACTCCCCCCTTCCCATTTTAGAAAAGAATTGTAGGAAGCTATAAGCAAAGCTCCAAGTATTGTGCACAGTTTTCGCTTTTGCAGCAGGTCTGTCTGGCTGTTTCAGACCCGGAAGCAGTGACAACATAGCGAGAAGAAAGCATGTCTGTTGCCAGGTGAAGGTACGGTCGCTTTGTACAATTCTTCTTCAGCGTGCGCTGGACCTGCTTTCTTTTTCACGTGCTCATGTAGCTTAAACTGGGCGTTTCATCGGGGACTTTCCGCGAGTGCGGTACTGCCCACCTACGCAAAATAACCGTAGCTAGTTAGTTATAGTTCGCCGTTAGCGTGATAGCGGAAGTTAAGGGAAACACGTTACCATACAGCAAACGTTCGTTGCGCGCAGCGTCATATAGTTTGGCGGAATAGCGTTTACGTGGTTTACGTGGCCCAGCTGAGATAGTGGCGCCACTTATCGGAGATTGGAGAAGTAAGAACAGTGAAAAGAAAAAGAAAACGAGAATGTCTGCCTGTGTAACCACACGAAGCATTGCTACAAGTTCATTTTAGTAATAAAAGTAAATAAATATGAACCGCGCCCCAAAAGCGAGAAACTTCACCTTGCAGATTTGTTTACACAGATCTTCCAGTTAGGCCTAGACACGTTCAAAATGGGAAGCCATCTTAAAAAACCACGCCAACTTATCCGTAATACTCGGTCGTCGAAGCTAACTGAAGGCAAGCGAAGCCACTTTAAACGGTCGTTTGCTGCAAACAAGATGAATCTTTCAACAACTACGCCAAAACCACTTCGAAGCAGGCGTCCGAGAGCGCCGCCATCTTTACGTACACTACGTACACATAAGCTACCACGGTAACGATAAATCTGAAAAATACCGCGCATACGTTAAGCGGTACGGGTAACGCACGTATCTGCGCATGTGCACTTAGATTCCGGTATCCCGGTAAGCCCGGTATACTATAACTGCCTACTGCCTCGGTGGCGAGTGGCGCGGCGCAAACGAGTCAGTCGTGCCCACCTGCGACATTATGCCATCTCCGTGCGATTGGGACGGCGGAGAGAAACTTTTTGGTCCAACAACTCAGAGGCCATGCTGCATGCGCATAAGTTCCCAAGAACATGAAGAATAAGAGCATTGGGCTGTGCACAAGTAGCAACTGCGACAGTTGTTACTTCACACTCATTCTCTGCCTACCTGCGAATACTATTCAAGCACCCTTCTTTGTGTTTACGCAGCACGCTGCAAGTGTCGACCAGTGATAGTTGTTGGTTAGCTTTCATCCTGTGCGTGTTATTTCCGCGTGTCCTTCGTGCTTGAGCAGAGCACTGCATGTACAGAGTTCTTTTCTGTTGTTTGTGTAGCATTGTTGCTATCGCTTTCACTGCTTCACCCTCACCTCAAAACTGACTTTTTTTTTCACGTGCAGTTCTGCAAAACGGGACCACGTGCACCCCCACAAAATTAATGCTTTTCAAATGTGGAGTTTTACTTATGCCAATTCACCGTGTTTTAGAGGCCGCAATGTCGATATGAGAATGCACTTCTCACAAAATTCAAGAGTTTTAAAGGACTGGAAAAAAATCCAGGAAGACTTTCAAGGGCCTTGAAAACAAATTTTTCTAATTCAAAGGTTTTCAAAGATTTCAAGGACCTGTACGCACTAAGATTCATAACATCCGGGGAGGGTATCACCGGTTGCCATAACGAGCACTACTGCAGAGGTCGAACACTATGAATGCGAATAATCACAATTGCTGGGGTTTAACGCCTCAAAACCAGGATATGATCATACTATGAGCGACGCCGGTGTGGACAGTTCCGCAGCCTTCGACCACCTGGGGCTCTTTAACGTGCAGCTTAATCCAAGTACACACAAGCCTTAAACACTTTCGCCTTCACCATAAATGCGGCCACCGTGAGGCCATGCTCAATTGTCTCTTCGGTCCCGCGGGAGTCGAAAGTAGAAGTGCTATGCGCCATCCCGATGCAAACCGAGTGTGCCTTCGTGTTTTTTTTTTTGTTTGTTTGATTTCGGCAGGTTGGAAAAGACTCCCGTTTGAATCCTACAGAGGTCAATCGCGTCCTCCCCTTAATATAACGTACTGACGACTATTTAGACCTACATATGCATTACACCACGCAGTCCAGCTCTTTCTTTCTCTCTCTGCTTTTTCTTCTCAACACTGCGCGTACACACTCCTTTGCTACTTCCTAGTCCCCTATATGAAATTCCCGTCTCTCACTTTCACGCTTACCACCCGCCCTCCAACCAATCACTGTGCGTCCCTCAACTTCCGAAGCTTCTTTGTCAACCACAAGGTTTTTTTTTTTCTTTTTTCCAACATTTGAGCCATGGGAATGCAATGGTTGTACACATTTTCCATGATAGTGCGAAGCTGCCGGTCATGGTTAGACACTGCTACCTGCAGACTTAATCAGTGGATGCGTAATACCTGTGCAGTACGCGTGTATTTTAATCAAGTAGAATTATTTAGAACACTTGCTTCAATTAACCGCGAGGCATCGAGTAATTATTTTCTAGCGAGAGGTCTGTCCACACCCCCCAACCACTTTAGTCGGTCGCTCCGGAGTCAGAGCGTAGGCTACTCCTAAGGGTTACTTACTAACAAATTTTGTCATTAAGTTTTACGAACAGTTAGTGTTCGACTTCACGGCATAAAATTGAGTCCCCGTAACATGCACTCGTACCAGGTCTCCACTTGCAGCTACGGCCAGGAAGTACACGAGGTACTCCGGACGAGGGGCGGCATTCTGCCAGGAACATTTTCGAGATAGCACGCGAGAGGTCCTCGAATAATGTGCGCATTGTAGTCCGAAACGCGCCTACGTGAAAGAGTCAAAATAGCTCAAGCACGAGTATATACTTTGGCGCTCTAAATTCTCTTCAGTCCCTCCAAAAAAAAAAACGTTCCGATAAATTTATTTTGAACTTCGTCAATGCACCACTCATTCAGAGGCGGCATAATAGCGATGCGTTGAAGCGAGAATTTTTTTTTTATGATGACGTGACGTACCTTCAACAAAAATAATGTTTTCACGCTTTTGTACTACGTGCTATCAAATAGGCGACGCTATTTCCTGCAAAACAATGAGGAACATCCAGAAGTGCAGTATTCCACGAACAGTCCGCATGACACGCGAGTCATAAAATGCTCACAGTGCGAGCAAACTTCAATCCCACTTACCGAAAACGACAGCGAGCGACCTCAAATCAGACAATGTGGCGGCGGAAGACAACGGCTCGGGCCTCGCAGACGGCGACTGCCAGGGAAGCCGCTCATCTTGATCGACCTCGGCTCACACCTGCAAAACGAAGAGCCGAGACTCATTAGCCACACGGCGAGGCACACGCCCCAAACCAGAACAGACCCCTCAAGCACGTCTGGTCACAACAACAACACCAAGAAATCTCTGTGGAGCCCTGAAAAGGGAAAAGGTCCGCCGTATGCACAAGCAAACGGAAAAAAAAGTTAAATACTGCGCTAACTCCTAACTTCCTGGACAAAATACATCCAATATAGTCGCGTATACGCGCATGCACGGATTAGTGTATACGAGATCGTCCAGGCGCCTACTATTCGTATTGATACGCACGCATGGGGTCAACGTAACCACATAACAGACGAACGAGAGGGCTGGAGCGAGGGTCGAAAAACTTCGCGCTGTCCTGCTCCCACGTCACCACCTACGGCGTCGTTCCGTAGCGGTATAGTAGAAATATAAGCAAATTGAGATGTCTAAAACATCAAGGATATCTTGGGCCATCTCCCCGATGGAAACGCCGATGAGATGTGAAGGAGCAGCACGACGTTGCCCGGTTGAAACAGGCGTCGACGCGGGTGCTGGATGAACGGTTTGAGGCGAAGCTCGGTGTAGCGTTTACTCGAGTGAACGTTTGTTTGAAACGCAAAGACACGGGAGGCGGGTTGGGTTTCATGAAAGTTTCATCACAGGTAAACGAGCCGAATGAGTAAACAGATCAAGTGACGCATCCACAGAAGCCGCACACACGCAGCCTGCTAGCCATTTGCAATGGCGGGCCGCGTCCGTACGGCTGCTGCGGACACACTTCTGTCTAGTGTTTCCACTCGTCGTGCGCTCGAGCGTTGCGGGAAGTGGAGAGGGTCAAGCGAGGGAGAAGTGGGTTGCGAGCTGGCAGAAGAGCCGACAGCTGCAGCAGATGAGAGAGAAAGTGACGTCAACGCGCAGCTGCGACTTGACCTACTTGGCATCGTTCCAGCAACTGCGACGAGGGGAGCGCGATGCGGCGCCTTGGCACAGAAACACGGACGGACAGCGTTACATAGGCTAGTCAAAAAACTGCTTCGCATCTAATAATTTGGGGCACTCTGGTGCTTGCAGGAATTCTCTGAAAGCTTGGCCTAGCTTCATAAAACTAAAGAAAGAAAAAAACGACAAGTTAGTACTCCCCCAAAAGAACGGCCTGAGGAGCAAGAATGACGTTCTTCGTTGGATTGGACAGCAGTCATTCGAATCATATTTTTGCTCTACGTACATAACAGAATACAATCATTTTCTCAGACATGCGCGAAAGACGACGCAAAAGAACGCCGCGACGTAAAATGTTTCACGTTCAGTTAATATGGTCCACTGCGATCACAATATGTAGTGACTGGAAACATTAACAATACCAAAGATATGGCATATTTTCCCATACGCTGTGCCGGTCAGCCCACACGCAGAATGCACCACTTAGACAGCACAATACACCGAACGTTACAAATACTTCTTTTAATTAAGCCTGCGAATGACTGTAGACGTTTTTTATCTATCCGTGGGCAAAGTTGGCCCATTCAATAAAAAGCAGAAGTAAGCGACCAATTACATTATCATTGTAATAACTATACTCCACCTAACATGTGCCTTTAAGATAAAACTCCAAAGTCCCAAACGTAGTGACTGCTATATACGCTGGTCACCGTGTTACGCCACAGTCGCTGTATTATGTTCGTCACTTAAAATGCTAAAAATAACCCCCTGATTTACGTCACACCTGTACTTCATTTCTTCGGAAACTATTCGACATTTACATAGCCAGCGCAAGCGCGCTGTTTGCACAATTTGATACGCCGGCTAAAAAACTTCCAGCCTTCGAGGAATATCGATAACTTTATCATTCTTCCCCCAATCACTCCGCCTCTTTTTCACCGATGAGAAACCCTATATGCGCACATAAGATACGGCGACCTCATTCACTGCGAGCCCCGGCTCAGCGCTACACAGCAGGAAACGGAACACTATACCGGACCCTAAGGAAGGAGCGGCCGGGCGCTCAGGTCCAGACCCTTGGCTGTCAAAGCGAAGACTGCCGCCAAGTGATCCCCATTATCATAATAAAATAAGAGCCCAGAGAAGGAGACAACAATAAAAATGAAACGGAGCGAGGCCCCTAAGCTAACGAACGCACCCAGGCGGAACCAAAGAGAGAAACTTTCCCGGAGCGGTTCGTCGGCAGTCTGAACTCTCGACGACAGAACGTGTAATCGGAGATGACACGGCATGCAATCACGACAGCAAAGGCCGGAGATGACCACTTACAACCAAGCACTGCAGTCTGTAAAAGGGGAAGGAGGGTGGGACCTGAAAAGTCAGAAGTGAGCAAAACAAAGTGAAGCCTGTGCGCACTGTGGTAACAAGAAAAAAAATTAGAGCACCAAAGGGAGAAGCACCACGAGCTCCTCCTCTCTTTATTTTGTCTTCTCACTGACTTCGCGAGAACTGCTGGGGCGCACAGCCCAGCAAAGGGAACGTAATTAATGCGAGGCTGGCAATCAACGAAACAGCGAGCCAGAGAAAGCTAGAGCGACGACAAATGGGATGACCGACAGAGAAGGTAAAAATAATTCAAAAGAGGGACAAAAAGCCTAAAAAAAGAACGCAATTCCGGACAACCTTTATGTATTGCGCGGTGCACTATGGAAGACGGCAGCCAATGATAGATTGGTTTATTGGTTAATTAATTCATTGATTGATCGGTTGATTGATTGATTGATTGGTTGATTGATTGATTGATTGATTCGTTCATCCATTCATTCAGTTCGTGATTTATATGTGGTGTTCAACGTCCCAAAATCACCATATGATTATGAGAAACGCCGTAGTGAAGGGCGCCGGAAATGGGAACCACCCCGGGGTTGTTTAACGTGCACCGAAATATGAGCACAGAGGCCTACAGCATTTTCGCCTCCATCGAAAATGCAGTCGCTGCAGTCAGGATTTAATCCCGCGACCTGCGGGTCAGCAGCCAAATATTTTATAGCCACTATAGACCACCGCGGAGGGGCAAGAAGGCAGCCAAGACAAGAACTGAGAAAATGCGACGAATGACTGTGCAGCTATAGTGCCCACTTGAAGTGCAACCGATAGTAAAGTCACCGGGACAGCTGGTGCTCGTGATAGGGTGCAGAGACAGACGAACGCACTATTCTCAGCACCATGAAATACCGCCATGTTGGCGTCTTCAGCAAACCAAGATTGCAGTAGCAGCCCCTGCGAGCCAATTAAACCTTAAAGAGATGGAAAACTCAGCAACGTTTAGAACGCGCCCCGCCAGTAGGATTTAAATGCACGAAAACCATCACATTTTTTGCCGCATTAAACAACGGACACAAAAACACCATATAATAATGAATAAGTAAAGCAATCACGCATTGGTAAACACACGTCTTCGTTATGAATGGTTGATTTGTGGGGTTAAACGTCCCAAAACCACCATATGATTATGAGAGACGCCGTAGTGGAGGGCTCCGGAAATTTCGACCACCGGGTCGTTATGAATGGTTAGATGACTCATTTTACATATATGAATAAATATATTGCCTTATGCGACACGTTTCATCTTTAAATTTTTAGTTTTAGGGATGAAGTTTTTGCAGCCTGTATGACCAAATGGGCTATCTTCCCATTCGGTCATACAGCAGCGTCTTTGTCGAAGTTCCCCCCTGCCCTGCTGTCAACCCATCTGAGAAGCCGCGATACGTCTCACAGGCGTGAACGTCGATCTCGATAATAATGGATTGAAAAACTACACGACGAAGAACTGACTTAGGGGAGGTACAAAATACAGCGATCATCGGCCCACCAATCAAGTCAACAAGCATTGCGTCACGCGCACAAAGACAGGCCTGAAGTGGACTCGCTCGCTGTCGCAACGCCCATCGAGACGTTGAGCGTAGGCCAAGGTGAACAAACGCTTCGTGCTGTACAGCCATTCGCTTCGACGCGTATACGCGAAAGTATACAATATGACGCGAGTAAAACTAATGACGTTCCGGAAGCCGGCGCTCAGCTTCGGCTACCCCTTTTGCGGCATAACGGATTTATATGTAGGGTTTAACGTCCCAAAACCACCATATGAGAGACGCCGTAGGGCTCTGCAGAAATCTCGACCACCCAGGGTTCTTTAACGTGCACCCATGCAGCATAACGGAAGATTCGTGGCCCAGAGTAAGGGGGGAAAGAAATAGACCCCACCGTTGTGTCTTATTTTGTATCTAGCATTATATGCTGCCTTGTTTCATTGCCCGTTATTTTTTTTTTTTCACTATTGCACAACAAATCCTTCGTTCTAGCCCGTAGTACTCTGTCAAAGCAAAGCAGCAGTGCGCAGACTGCGCTTTTAGATGCGCGGAGAGCCAGTGCACCTAATAGCCAACTGTTTTCCAGCTTCTCCAGTTTCCCAATCCGACTTTACCATAACTTGGGCGAAGCCAGAAAATGTAATACGGATATGCACAATCTCTATTTTCTACGCCGCAGAAAGCAGCCGGCCATAGAACAGCCCAACCATGGTACAGCGCTGAAACAGCCCTCACTGCACAACGGAGTAGAGATTCGATGAAGCACGTCTTACCCCTCAAATAACCTTTTCCTCTTTATATATGTCTTACGAAACAAACTTTCGAAAAGCTGTCAGCTGCGTACGACGTCAGCGACACCGACACACTGCCGGTTTTAAGTGTAAAAAATAAAATGATGACTGAAAACAAAGCCCAAAACCGAGCTCCGGAGCGTTACCCGCCGGAAGCAGAGCCAAGGGTATGCGTTTATAGACGACCCATAGGAGGCTAATACAGGCGCACCATACACGACATGGAAGAAGTATTTCAGCAGCGCTGCGATTCAAGAGATATTATATTCGAGCACAAAAAGTAAGCTGCAGTGACAGCGTATTACGTGCACGTCCCACTTGCCCACTTCGTGGAACTATTGCTCGAAAGTATTACAGGGTCTCTATTGACCTAAACAGGTATCTGAATTCGGTGGTCGGTTTAGGCATCCCC